GGAAACATGTTTTACAGGTTTAACAGACATCAAATTATGTAAATATTATAGCATTTTGTAAAGCTTAGCTCTAGTTTTTGTCACTTACTTTATTATTATTATTATTATTATTATAATTAATCTTTCAAATAATATGTTAAAATATACAAGAAGAGTTTTTGAAAAATGTTTCTGCACCTTAAATGAAACAGTAAATGCTTGTGGTATCCATTCTTTCACTAAAGGAGCCATCATTTTGGGGCACTGTACCAAGTGAAGCTGCAGTGGAGCATTTGATTGAATTTTGTGTTTCGGCTGTACAATATTGTAAAGAAAAACACAGTCAGCATTTAAAGGGAACAAAAGGGTAGAAAACAAAAGGTTATTTTACAGTTAAAGTCAGAAAACCATGAACACCTAAAATATGTTGGGAATGTTTCTTGTAGCCAATCACGAGCGAGATCTTCAACCACAGAAACCACAGAAAACAGATGAGTTTCCATGCACGGAACACAATTTGTTTTGTTTTAAAAGGTCTCAAAAGAAAACCTCTATTCTGGTTAAACAAGAAATTAGATCATTCCTGTTACAGGCTATGTATTATAAACACTAGAAAAGAGGGTTTGGGATATAGATGTGAAAAAAACTTTTTTCACAAACCAATACAATGTGCCGGGCCGACACAACTGGCAACCATTGAATCACTCAAGCGCGAATGATCCAAATCAGTGCTTTCATTATTTCATTTCTTTATTTTGATAATGGCGAAAAGTGACGAGCAATATTGATGAAAGTGGAAGTCCTCATTATATTTCTGTAATAAGTTAATCAAATGCAATTTATTTGGGAAGGAGCAGGAGAAAATTGAGGTGTTTACTGTTAGCCACAGCTAATTCCAAAATTAGCAAACATTTGAATTTATCATTGTCATTCTTTTCAGGGTCTTTAGATCACCAAATCATTGGGCCTAAGGAATTGTAATTATTTGTGAAAATAAAGAGTAGCTACCGGTAGTTTAACCAAAGATGATTCTAAGGTTAGCAAAACCACCAAAATTTTAAAAATTTATCCACTCCTATTTATAGCCACGCCAAATTAACCGTCGCTTTGCTTGAGTAACTGTACACATCAGTGGGATTCTTGTTTTCCAAAATCCCTCAGACAACGTACTGGATGTGGTTCTTGACTTTCAGTAATATATAGAGATGGAGGGTGTATCTTGGAACAAAAACCACAAGCTACATTTACAGTTCCATGACTGATCCCCTGACAGATGGAATACATCCACTTTCTGTGGTTTCTGTGGTTGAAGATCTCGCTCATGATTGGTTATAACATAACAGACATTCCAGACATATTTTAGGCGTTCACGGTTTTCTGACTTTCAATGTAAACCTAAAATTATACATAAAAAATGATGAGTGAGGTTTAAAGAATTTCAGAGTTGGATAATATTCTGCACACAAAGGGGTTAAATTAATATTCAAACACTAATATGAAATGATAATGATTATCAGCCAGGTATGAAAAGAGAGAGGGTTTGGCTTTGAAAAAAAGACAGTGACTTTTGTTTGATTCTTAGCCGTTGAAGCTAGCTCTTGCTTTTAAAAGAAATAGTATGCGTCACCAGGTTTTTCATTATAACTTCCTGTAACAGTTATAAGGAACACGGTTGACAACTCTAATAAAAACTGTTGCCAGGGAACCTGTAGCAAAAATTGCCGGAAATTGAAACACATCACCCAGAATACTCAAAATATTTCTGGGAAACTAGAGATAATATATTCGTATATTACAAAACAAACATTCAAAAAAGCTTTTAAATTTCTAGAGAATGGCCTGATTTCACTATGACATAGCACAACTTGAACAATGTTTACTTGGTTCCCCCATGCATAATATCGCAAGACAATATCCTTGAAATATCGACAAGACATAATATCATTGAAATAATATCAATTCCAGATCGACTGGACAGGGTTCATGGCCTGCCTGGAAACACTGTGTTAACTGCTCTTGGGCAAGATACTTTATTCTCACAGTGCCTCTCTCCACCCACGTGTATAAATAGGTACTGGCCAATTCAATGCTGGGGTGTAATTCTGCGACATCTGGCCTAGCATCTCATCTGGGAAGACTAGAAATACTCCTCATCCCCTCACGTTACTGAAACTGGAGATAAGGGCAAGCCTGATAGACCACTTGGCTCATATGCAGACTTCATGTTTAACTTTGTGGTTATGTTAAATGTTTGTTTGGGTGTATTTACAGACGTTACTGATTTACAACATTAACTAGTCTACCATCTTTCATAAAATTTACTTTCCAGACCAGCCTGTTTCGTTGGGCATTTAAAAATTCTGTTGCTACTCTGGAGATATAGTACAGCACATACTTCAAATTATATCTAAATTCCACAAAGAATTAAACTGCATGTGGCCTACCAAATCTTGAGGAGGAATGTAGAAATCAGAGACAGCAGCTGCCAAGTACAACATGACTGTGGGTCCATGAGGTGCAAGAGACTCTGCCACACCCCTCAGAAGGAACAAGTACTCAGTCAGAGTACTAAACTCAATCATAAGTAATGTCCCAGCAAGTTGTACCTGACAAGAACAAGCACCAACATACAACTATTATACAACTTCAGTTTACAAAGGACAAGGCTATTGTGGGTGGGAGAATGCTGCTTTAAGGTCTAGATATGCAAGTTTAATAAACAGTAATAATATAATCAATAAATCCCAACAAAAAAATCACTGAAGAGATCAGTGATCATCACAGTTATACACACAACTTCTGCAGCTGTGAAATTAAAAGCCTGAAAAAAATTCAGGCTTGAACAGGAACTTGAACCAATGACCTCTGCCATACCGTTGCAGTGCTTACCAACTGAGCTATCAAGTCAACTGAGAGCTGGTCACATTGTGAGTTCATAATATACCTGTAGATGGTAAAGAATGCAAGTGCATATATGAAAGATCATATATATTATGAACTCGCTCAAGGAATTTGAATCCCGTTCAAGCCTAAATTTTTTTCAGGCTTTAATTTCACAGTTTGTGTACATAACTGCAAAGATCATTGATGTCTTCATATCTTTCTCCATAGTTCAAATAAATGATCTTTCATTTATTCAATCTTAGATCAGTGAGCAAAATGTTCATAATTCAGGGTACAAAGAAAACCAATTTTTGACCTCTACAGGCAAGATGTGACTATGATGCACCAACCTCAAAGTCAATCTCACTAGCCCCAACAAAATTTCAACTCTTACTCGGCGCTCAAAAAATTGACATCTGGTTGTCAAGGAAAAGCATGTGTTGATTTTCTCGATGGGCAAGTAACTTTTCACACTCACTTCCCCTGGGCAAGGGACCAGGCAAGTTGTCTGCCTACTAAATAAAAAAATGTAAACCAAAAAATATTTGCCCAGGGCAAGCAAGATTTGAGGACTGCTTGTCCAAGGGGCAAGCTAGAATTTAAGTTTTTTTTTTAAGCCTTGTTACAGTCCTTAGAACTACAATTTGAATTTCCTCAAAAATATTCCCAAGAAACTTCACTGGCCTGTCAGGCTAATAAAGGACACAATCCTCAAGCCTTGTTACAGTGCTTAGAACTAAAATTTGAATTTTCAGTGCTTACAACTACAATTTGAATTTCAGGGCAAGCAAGATTTGAGAACTGCTTGTCCAAGGGGCAAGCTAGAAGTTTTTTTTTCAAGCCTTGTTACAGTCCTTAGAACTACAATTTGAATTTCCTCAAAAATATTCCCAAGAAACTTCACTAGCCTGTCAGGCTAATAAAGGACACAATCCTCTAGCCCCCATGCAAAATCCACCAGCCTTGGGCTACTGGACACCATTTTCTTTGCACACTGAATCTATCAGAGCTTGAAATATAGCTTTAATGCAGCGCAAATTATACCAAAAATCAATCACAGTTTTGCATACCTGCCTATGCATCTTGAGTACTTGTGTTAGTTTTGGTACTTTACAAGGGTTAACTAGTAATAATAAAGGATATCTATCTATCAATCAATCAATCAATCAATCAATCAATCAATCAATCAATTTAATAAAGTGGCATTAGGTTGCCCTCCATATCTGATGTAGAGGCTCATAAATGCTTAAGAGAAAATTAGTACAAAAATTATTGTTTAAAGAATATAGAACATATTAAAAATATAGAATATAAATATCAGTAAGAATACATATTAAATGTTTTTCCTACAAACACTAACAGGATAAAAAAAAAGTAGATACACAACCAAGTTAATATAAGCAACTATGATACCACCCCAAAATTAAGAACAAGATGCTATTTCCCTTTAGAAAACAGTCCTAAGAAAATACACACGCTGATTGGTTAAAAATCGTGTTTCTATAACTCAATAGAAACACAGAACTAGCATGAGCTGTCAACGTAATGATGGTATGAGCAAAGAGAATTTGCATTTTGATAATCAAAGTTAACCAGTTGTTTTCCTTTTTTTCGTCACGGTGTTTTCTAAAAGAAATAGAAAACATGTTCTCCGTGTTTCTATCAAGTTATAGAAACACTCGTGAAAGTTTGGGAGAACTCAAAAAAGCTGTGGCCCTCTTGCTGCTAATGTGTTGTTCCAGAAAATATCCATACCCCTCCCACAGAAGTTTTTTTAGCTTGAACCCCCNCATACTTTCCTTTAAAAAATTGGGCTTTTGAAACCCTATTTCCCCTTGGAATTTCCGTTAACCTTCCTTGGGGTGGGTATGGATATTTTCTGGAAATGCACAATATGATATTTCTTGCGTTTTTATTAAATTTATGTTGGAGTCTTTCTGATAAAAATTGTATGGTTCCAGAAAATATCCATACTTACCCTAAGGAGGGGTTATTGGAAATTCCAAGGGGAAGGGGGAATCAAAAGTCAAATCAAAAATCCCCCCATGGGAGGGGTATGGATTTTTTCTGGAACAACAAATTATATTTGGCTATATATTCAAAGTATAACAAAGTTTGATGCATTAGAATTTTTAAGAGTGTCTCTACATCACACAGCAGCCTATTACCCTTACATTTGCACATTAACTAGGAATGAAGTGTTTCCCATTTAATACTACTTGACATGTATAAATCCTTATTTCTGTTTTCAGAAACCATGATTACTAACTACCTTCAATCTGGCTTGATCCATCAGGCAAGTTCTTGACTTGCAACAGTTCCATAACATCTTGAGAAGGAACATGGCGAGTGAAGGGACATAAAGACCCTTGCCTGTGTAGAAATATCACTGCATAGCCCTGCTGAAGAAAATATCTTGGGAAACAAAATTTAAGGAATGAAATGCTATATAGAGAAACCACAGACGTAATTACCAAATAAACCTTCAATAATTGCTACAGTTGTTTTTCTTAACTTACTATGCTGAGGAGCTCAAAAGTGTAACTGTGTTTAATTCATTCACATTATTTCGTCCATGCAGACTATCCAATTAGAAGTCAAAGATGACTTTTCTTGGCTTCTGATTAGATAGTATGAGCTGAGACCACAATAAGCCTGCAGATTTTGCTCAAAGTTCCTAAACAATGGATAACCACAAAATAATGACACTTTTCAGGACTAAACTTTCTCTTTTTATCACAGCATAGTCTGCAAACAAGACCTTTATGACTTAAAAGCTTAGTGATTTTAATTGGCATACAGTCATGATATGCAATCATAATGTTAAATTAATCCAACAATTTCACATACATGTATCTGCTCAGGCAACGTCTGATGACAAACTCTTATTTCCAGCACTGACCTTTCAGTTAGGACTGACTACATTTTTAATTACAAAATGTGAATGCTTCAAAAAGGATGTCCAAATAAAAGAATCCCTTGACTGGAATTTCAAAAGTTAGGATTGCTTGTGTGAAGGTTACTTCTTGAACCTAAGTGACCTTGTAACCTGCTAACAAGTTAACATGCTTATGTAGCCTACTCTGCATATCAATGAATCACTCCTCACATGCTTATCTCCCATCTCCACTCAAGAAGTGCCCATGATTTTTGCAAGGAAGATCCATAGTGATGACCTAGCTCTAAAGAGACCAGTGTTACTTTCTCTGATTGGTCTTATATTGCTAACTTTTGGATTTCAAGTATAAATAACACGCGGTCCTAGACACTATTCAGATCTCTTAACAGTTATGTTAAATTCTCTACATTTTTTTTAAGTGGGAAAGATTGAAAGTGCTAGGGGAGATCTGTCCTCCTGGACTAATCTCTAACCCTCAACCTTCTGATCCCTGAAGAACATCTATTTAAAAACTTGTTTGTGCATAGAATTATTAAGATTCATTCTTTCTGTGTAGCATCTTTAGCAGGATACTCAGCTGAAGCAGATCCTCTTGTTCCAATGCTGAAATTGTCAATGAAACGAACAGCATTTTCCTCCAGTGGAACACGGGTGCCTCCAGACTATAAAACAGAATTGGTACATTAATTAATTTTTATATTGACTCACTTTCTAGATATATTTGGAAGCAGATGAGCAAATCTCCTTATAGCTCACAAATTCCAAAGGCAGAAAGAATACCCTAATAATTGTTAAAATATATTATTCTGCCACATCTGATAAATTAAGATCTCAAATAGGGACCTAAAAACAAAAAAAACTGGTTGCCAGAGTGTTGTCATGGAAGTCAAATCCAATGGCTCAGCCACATTCTTAAAATGGATCAGTTTCATATTCTTAAAGTTTCCTTGTGATGGACAATAGGGAGCTTTAGATTGGACTACGAGTACGAGATTGAGCACGAGTACGATTTTCAATTTTCAAATCAGTGATGTTTCCAGAGCCCTAGTTTTTCATGTTGGTTTTAGGCCGAGAGGGTAGCTCATGGGATGAAATGGGTATGTGTTGTGATAATGTGAAGCCTGAAAACTAGAACTGAAAAGTCGTTCTCGTAGTCGTACTCAAATCTTAAGTCCCCTACCACCTGGCAAAGGAAACCTGCTTGGCCAAAAACCACCTGGTGCCAAACTGTGAATGACTAAGCTCAGTGAGGTAAAACTGACATTGGGGCTAGCACAACATGCTGCACAAAATAGAGATAAATGGAGAGGGAATGTTGTTGCCTTTTGTCCCACAGCTTCATGCCATTGGGAACTGGAATCACTCAGACATCAGAAGATTGGGGCTGACATGAGTCAGCTCAAGATGAAAGCCCAAGACAGAGACATCTGGAGGACTCTTGTAGGTGGCCTATGTCCCAGGAGGGGTTATAGGGGTTTAGCAAGCAAATAACTATGTCCTACAGGGGAAGAAGATAAAGTAAGTACGTTATTGTTATAACCAAACAGTTGCAATCACAATTGTCCAAGGCAACTGTAAGGATATTTTTTACTAAGATCTAAACTCCATGGTGAAGCCCTGAGAGACCATTAGAAACTTCATCTCCTGAGAATCAAAACAGCTTTGAGCCAATCCACATTCCAATAAAGTGCTCGAAAGGAATGGAGCAACCTTCCCAAACAATTCCACCCCTGCAATACCCTGACAACTTTTAAAACAGAAACTTTTAAATTTTTAATTGACTTAGATAAGGCACAACACAAATTTTATGTAGTGTGTAGATTTTCCACTCTTTTAACATCGTGTATCCAAGCTACCTTCTGGCAACATATTTTTCATGGTGCCCTTCACCAAAACAGAAAATTTGACTTCATCAACAGATTAAAGGATTTCCATCTCTGTTGACATGCTTTGCAGTGATCATAATACCACTGGGTCATGTTCCACACATCTTGTTCTTACTTTTGTTGGTAGTTTCTGACATCTGTTTATTCATCTTGCCCCAAAACTCCTTCACAGTCCCATGTTACTACAACAGTTTAACCCACCTCCTGGGTGTGTAGTTTCTCCTGGACTACCATCAACTGGTGCTATTCAAAGACTTCAAAAGCTACCATCTCACAAATTTAATTTTACTGCATAGTATAACTTATGAAATGTAAGGTCTCTGAACAGTCTCTTGGCCGAGACGAAACACCGCATCAGACTAGCCATGAACATTTCACAAGTATTTGACAATTGTTTAATATAACTTAACTTTGTTTATAAGCACCAACATACATTAGCTGACTGCCACACAGGACTGTTAAGTAGAGTTACACAAAACTTGATGACACAGGATATGGTTGACTAACAAATGTCAACTTCACAGCAAATTAAAGCTCAAATTGATTCACTTTGATCAAAAGAACTTTTCGATATATTTTTTGTATATAATTTTTAGTTTGTGTCCTGAATGACATGTGGTGTAAATATCAAAGATACCTGAAGTTCTTTTCACAAATGTCATTTAAGCAAGATTTGGAGCTTCAAGGTCCCACTCTTTAAAACTATTTTCGGCATTTATTAAATATTCAGGTGAGCACAAATCAAACAATTCTGAATAATTAGTTCACTTGAGCAGAAGATTATTACATTCTCTGTTTTATTCTACTTCTGCTCACTGCTCTTAGCATATAAGCTTAAAGCTGGGTTCGTGGCCATGCGATGTTCTTAGCTAGTGCTTTACGACAATACAGTTACTGAGAAAAGTAGGGAAGGCGTGATTGAAAGACGAAATATTATGCAAATATCACATTTTCATTACAATGAAACTTAATGGTCTCGGATGAGAGAACAAACGCCCTTTCGACAGTAGTACTCGCACAAGTGGAACGAAAGTGGATGCAAATTTACCTTTAATCTTTAAAGGATTAAATCTAAACATGGTCACGCTGTCGTACACACATATATTAAACTCAGTAACTTTCTCATAATCGATGGTGCCAAGGCATCTACGAAAACTGAACATAACCTGAGATAAATTCACTTAGGTTCTGATAACTACAACACGTTTAAATTGAAAGTGAAACGGTCGTTGTTTTACGCTTCCACGCTTCACTCGTCACATACGAAGTTTTGGTTGTGTAGTTTTTAGCAAGCCAATAACTCCATTTAAACCATCAATTCCACAATTTGACAACCATAAACTAAGCGTATATGTTTTTTTCGATTTACTTTGCATTTCTGCTGCCTCATTTAGCCATAATATATACTGTTCCTTGCATGTTTTAATCGTAATGGCAAGATTAAGGAGCGTATGTGCATAGATTTCCGGACTGACTGATTCCTGCAAGAAATGCCTGTAGTAGATACGGATTGACAACTCACCGTCACAAAGACAATGTCTCTTCCAGCTGCCCGTTGAGTTCCTGCAAATTCACTAACAGTAGCTCTGACTTCTTTCAAGTTTCCAGGAGGTGTTTGTCTCGCGAAAAATTCAACCCAATCCGCCATGATTCATGAATTATCCCTCATTACATATTCGGCTTTGATTTTTCACAAATCTGTTTCCTCCGCCTTCAGTAAGACCAGGTATTCGTTTCTTTTTCCAAACAGGCCTTAGTTTGATAACTACACTTGGTGACAACGCAATTTCTTTCCCTAATTTCGCCTATTCAAATCAAAATTTAAACGCACAGAAACCGAGAAGTCACAGTTAATTTCGAGATATCGAAGAATTAATTTCCTTAAGACTGCATAAATTATTACAGACCAAAGTCGTTACAGCCAATCAGCGGACAGAGTAAAATCCACACCAGCCCTTACGTAAACAGAGCAGAAAGCAGAGCAGAACAGAGTTGAAATTCCACTGTTGCGGGAGTTAATTATTACTATCTCAGTTCAATGTTTTCCCCCCAATTTCTCATTTTCACTTTCAAAAATAAAACATGTAAGACAATTTCATACCAGGGTGTATGTCACGTGACCTTTGTGGTTCTGTTTCTCACCTGCCCACGCATAGCCTGCGAACGCAGACGTATTTCCGGCTGTCGCTTGTCTCCGCCGAAAATAACGTCTGCGAACCCGAGCCAGGAAACGATTTCTGTGATGTAATGACTTTTGTTTCTCCTTGGCCAATCAGATCCTATGATAGAATGAAACTCGAGTGCTCCTCGCAGCGAATACCTCGCGCAGTAGTTCTGAGGCTACTTGAGCTAAGCTGTGATTGGCTTAAAATTCCTACGTCACATAAATCGTTTCCTGGCTCGGGTTCGCAGATGTTATTTTCGGCGGAGACAAGCGACAGCCGGAAATACGTCTGCGTTCGCAGGTTAGCCCACGTACGAAGAGGTAAAAATAAATTGTTGCGTGGCAGTAAAATGTTTTCCTCGTGCTATCGAGGTTGTTGTAGTATATAAACGCGTAACGGAGGAGTCGAAGGATTTTTTTGAGGGGGGAGGGAGGATCCTGGATACTACAAAACTGTTTGTCCTCACAAACTGATTTTCTTTAATACGAAAATACAGCTTCATTGCTTTTTCGGTTTTCCCACTCGTTGAGTAAAGAAATTTTTTTTCCTAAGAGTGGACGGACTTATCAGATGAATCGTATCCATGCATGGTCAAAGAAGGCTTTCATTATCCAAGCTAGTTCTTTAGGTGTCAACCTGGTCATCAGAAGCTGTCAGTTCCAGTGTTCTAACTTTCAACCTTTTTTTTCCTCTAGCGGATTTTTTCAACCGTCTTCTTTCTTTCCCTTTGCAGGAGACCACCTCTTGGATTCTTGCAGGGGCTCATGCTGCAATTTGAAACAGGTAAGTGAAGTCATTTTGTTTTATGCATATGTAATAGCTGGCGGTCAGACACAGTAGTTAAAACTTCCATTTTCACTACCCCGTTAAGTGTAACAATCACCTATGGTGTTTATGAGTCAAGAAGCCGGAAGGCGGGTGGTGCACGCGGTGTATAGCAGCAAGCATGAGCGCTGGTTCATTGCGGAAGTAACGAGGAGTTTTTCACATTAACGTTCCCACACAAACAGGTCCATAGCTGAAGAAGTAATGACTGAGGCGATGTTCATGGTTATATCCTCTTCCAAGGTATTTAGCAGTGTTTAACTTCCCCCCTCCAGAAAAGAAAAACAACAACAACAACAACAAAATAACTAGGCAAGTGCCTCGGTTTGCTTTATACTGGCTACGGCCCTGCTAACCAAGGAAATGTAACTTTATTAGTTAGTTACCTGCCATAACATAAAAATAAGATCAGCAGCAGTAGAGGACTAAACAAAGATTCCTTCATACGAGGTGTGATAGTTGATGTTAGTAGTCAGAATACTACTACTATTACCATTGCCATTGTCACTGCCATTGCTCACAGGGCAATAAAGGGGAATTATGGGCAGTTATGTCCCTGGTTACAGTTATTTAACCAAGCTGAAATTTTCCCTAATTATAAAATTTGCTTGTAGACTACGTGACATGTCACGTGATCATTTTGTTAAAATTTAGTACCAGGAGCCCATCACTCGGAGCCTTCATAAGTACTATCAGGAGCCATAATCGGGAACGGAGACTGTAAGTCTCGGGATTCGCGCGCACCTATGATATGGGACAATTTTTCTATTTTAGAACAAATTG